CCCAGGAATCTTGCTACAATCAGAGCTAGGGTCAATGCTGATCTGAAGGAAATTGAGGCAAAGGAAGCTCAACTAGAAGAGGAAGATATCTAAACTCTATCCTCTTGTTGCTTTAAATATCTTTCATTAATAAGATAACCTGCTTGCCTCTATTTTGCATGGCAACTTCAAATTATTGCATTCTGATTATTTATGCTCTGATATCTTGTGCTATTTCTTATGATATTTATCTGATTGATTGTATCTTACTCTTACTATTCTCCTATGCCAAGTGCCCACCAAGATTTTAAATGAAAGTTTTTCTTTTCTTATTTTCTTTATGGTGAAAGGCACTTCTCTGGAGATAGTTTAAGGGTTTTGGCATCATCAAAAAGGGGGAAATTGTAAGGAATAAATGTAATTAGATTTTGATGATGCTATAGGATTAGAAGATTAGAGTACCCCCAATTAGATTTTATATATTAGAATTTTTAATTGTAAGTATTAGTGTAGTCGACGATCAGAGTTGCTCTATGAGAACTGCTCCTTCAGACTTGCTCTATGAGAACTGCTCCATCAGAGTTCTCTTAGCAGAAGTTCATCAGAGTTGCACCATGAAAGTTGCTGAGAAACTTGGACATCTGATAACCGATGAGAACTACAAATCAAAGGTACTCATCAGCGGACATATCAGAGTCAGAGTTAGAGCTCTATCCGGGATCAGAAAGCCATCAGAACTCAACTCATCAGAAGGCAATCAGAATCCAACACATCAGAAGAGCCTGATCAGAACTCGACTAACACTTAGAAGATTTCAAGCAACATCCAACAGCTATGAGTTCAACGGGTAAAAACATCCAACGGCTAGAAGACTGTGCATGAAAGGAAAGCATTTAATGCACATTAAATGAGCCTGATACGCTGAAGGATTGATTGCAAATGATTGACCAAGGAATCCGGGAAGATATATTTTAAAAATAGAAACCTTCCAAAACGGCGGTCAAGTCAACTGTACGCGCATTTAATGCAGTTGTCTCCTCCTCCAACGGGCAGACAACCCCAGTATATAAGCTACTCACCGAAGAACAGGGATACAACTTTGCTACAACTTGTGCTCATAAAACTTTCAAGCTCTCTTGAGATTCAAACTCCACAACACAAAAACAAGAAAAAGCTTACGTTGGGAAGATTCAATCTCACAATCTCTCATCCCCAACAAGAGCAAAGTTCATCCTGCTCTTCAACTCTTCAAGATCTTCATCAAACATCATTTGTGACGAAGCAAGTTGGAGGAAAAACTCTGTTTTTCAAAGGATCTTCTGAAAAGAAGGGCGTCCAAGTAACTGCAGTAGTGAAGTGGTGATACTTCCGGGAAACTGAGTGAAAGGACCAGCCATCAGGACGTGGAATTGCATCCTGGGTGGCATCTAGGCTTGAAGAAGACGAGGAGTGCTTCTTAAGTGCTAGGAATTAGCTTTGTAACTGATCTACTTCAAAGCTAGTGGAACAGTGGACTAGAGGAACAAGTTGTTCCTTGAACCACTATAAAATATCCGGTGTCATTTACTTTACTGCAATTTACGTTTCTGCACTTAGGATATTAACTGATTAACTCTAAGACTTGGAATCTGTGTTCAGCAGATCTTGTTTTAAGAGTTGTCAGAAAGGCATTTGCCTTAGTGTTTCTGAGGCTACCCGGACAGATCAGAATCCGCTGCCAAGGCCAGTTCTAATATCAGAACCAGCCTATCTCTGTCATCAGAATCAGACCTTCTCTGATAAGTCACTTTTGACTTAGAGAAAATTTGAAAAACCAACCAGTCTATTCACCCCCCCCCCCCCTCTAGACTGGTTACCATTTTAAACGGGACCAACATTAAGTTTCACATGTCTTAATGTATGGGTATGAGAAAATTGAACTTATATGTGTGTAAAATCAACAACCTTAACCTATAAACCCAAGTGCTTTTATGGTCAGCTGGAATATTGATGAATAATTTTATTCATTTGAATAATCAAGTTTATTTCTAATACAGGTTCATTTGAAGAAGACAAGTTTCATTGGAAGAAGGAATGTGCAGCTGAAGAGAGAAGAACGCGCTTTACCAATCGGAAGAAGTGTATTGCTCGGTGTAGCTGTGACAAAAATGTGAAATTACCATTAGGCCGCAGGTTATTAGGTGGGAGAATGTTAGTATAAGACAAGAAAATTGGGTAAGTCAACGCAAGATGAGGGGAATTTCACATGTATAAACATACAAATAGAGAAAAATTGGATACAATATTCTACTGCAATATAACCCGGTAATGACTATATCTCTGATTCTTTTACAATGGAGAAAATATACTATATAGCTTGTATGGATGATGGTGGGGTCTTACATCATTTGGCATAATCTAAATGAGTGAATATGCAATGAAACTAGTCTATTTCCTTCCATTTTTTATTTAATCTAAATGAAAAATTACTTAGGAGTTAAGTGTGCCTTTTTTAGGAAATGTCTTTTAATCCAACAACTCAATTCGTTTTCAAGCAACATAGTGATAGAGGATGAGAACGCTGCATTAGAAATTGGTTTTAAACCAAAACTTAATAACAAAACTTATGGAATAACCACATGATAAGTAGAAAAATAATAAGAGGGCCAATAACCATTATGGGAGTTATAGTGGCTTAGTTGTGGTTCTCAACTCTCACTAGAATGGGTGTTCAACTAAAAATGCCTTCAACTAATTACAAATGGAAAAAATTCCTAATTTATATGGATACCAATTTTAATGAAATTAACTGGATGGGAATCCAGATACTTGAATAAAATCCCTAACATTAGAATCAGAAACCCCTAACGTATACGATTACCTATATCAAAGCATAGTTTGACTTAAAATATAATTTTTAAAAGGAATAAATAGGAAACCGCCTTTGTGCCACTGAAATAAAATTTACTTTTTTAGCATCCAATTGAGATATTGAGAGAGATGTATACACACATGCCTGGCTGAGTTGAGCGTATCACACAGTGTGTAATTTCTTATTTTTAGCCCGTTCAGCTAATTTTTTCTTTTACTATTACAAATGACTAAAAAAGTTGCATATTCATCACCACTCAACATAATTTTATATAATAAGGTCAATAAGAGCTCAATATATTTGATCATATCACTTGGACTCACAAAATCTTTCTCAATATGTTTGGTTCATAGAAGCAAATTTGTAATGAGAAAATATGAGATTAGCAAGCAAAGAGGGTGCAAAATTATGTGTAGAAATATCTGGCCAACTTCAAAAATGCTCCAACAACTTAGTACCCAATTCCCTATGTTTGCAAGACACGACCATGCCCACCAAACGGAGACATCACACAATGGTTATAGATTTTTCCTAATATTTTTTCCCCTAATAATTACATCACATTTGTAATGAAACAATTCAGAATTAAAGAGATTAGATCCCCATTATAAAGACTTCATTTCCAAGTCAAATTAACAAACAATTTACCACTAAAAAAATTTGCTAAATTGGTAAGAAGAATGTATGATTGAAGGATAGTAACTATTTTGGATTTCAGACCAACAAAATGCACTGCACACTAATGGGCAGAATTTTTATAGTTTCCCTTGAAAATATGTTTTAGAAGTTTTTCTAAAAAATGAATGAGAAATAACACATCTCTAGATGTACCAAATCGCTTAGTTAGATACAGATGTACCACAGATCTTCAAGGAATTTATGTGAGACATTTCTTTAAAGAATAGATAATATGTATGTTAAACAATATGAACCCCAAAAGTTTAGAAAAACATTGAAGCTTTCTTGATGAAAAAACAGCATAAATTCCACTTACAAATAGTTTTCTAACGGCATTCAAAGTTTCAAACCTGGAGGAGATGGGTTGCTTGTTGAAAAGTGGGGCTCGATCATTTATTTCTGTTTCCAGAATTGGTGTCAGCCACGCAGTCCTTGCACGCTATATGATAAAGAGGGGGATTCAATTCAAGGGCAGTTAAAATTCGTAGAAAACTATTATGCGCGGAGGAATGAAAAAAAGGAATCAGAATCAGAAATTGGAAAAGGAAACAGAGAGGCTATGAAATTCTTTCACAATGAAATTACCGTGAGTGCTGCGATGGAAATTCACTCTAAAAGCTGGCCGAATTGAGAGAGGAGAGCAGTGATGAAGACAAAATAGTTCCACAACCGCAGTGTAGATGAAAGAAATTCAAATCATCGTGCGGGAGGGGACACAACTTCATCACTTGGAGAGTGTATTCTGAGAAGGCAGGTTTACCGCTTGGAAGGTGTAGTCTATGTGGTAGGTGCGAAGGTGTGAAATTACGATCAAACCTAAAGTGGAGTGGGAGGCAGATTTTTAGGTTAGAAACGTCTCTAACGAATAGATTTAAACAATCAGAATAGTTCAAATAGCTTGAATCCAAGTAATGGTAGAAGACTTAAAGACAGAACCCAAGTAAAGATGAACTGCATTACTTATAAACAATAACATCCATTTAAAGTTAATATCCCTCAATTCTAATATGTGATTGCAGAACTCCATACGTATAGATTTAAGTTCTCACTGTTTTGTGGTTCTTCATGCTAAGTAAAGAAAAGGCATCTCATTAAGTAAGAGTGAAGACTAACTTGGCAAATAATATATTCACCTTCGATATAACATTTGGAAGGAAAGGTTGCAGCAAGCGAGATTGCTTTACATGATTTGTTTTTATTCCTTGCTGCGAGTTATTGATTTCTACATTGGAGGAGAAGCAAAAATCATGCCAAATTTGTATAGTGCCTGAGATACATACTTTAAAACTCATTTAAGTAATACAGTGGGTATAACTGTCATAGAATGTTGAGTCTCTCTCTATGAAAATGTAAACTAAACACAATCTCATGGTCTTTATATGATTTACCTGTAACTCATATAATACAAATACAAACAATGATCAAGTTAACAATGATAGTGTAACAAATTTTTATTTTTATTTTTAAAAGTAGTACACATTTACTTACAAGAGTGGATACATTAAGGATTCTATAAGCATTGGAAGAATGATCCATAGTGGTATAAGTTGCAGCATTTTAAACCACTTCAGCTATTTAAACCTTAGCAAAGAGGTTGCTAAGAAGATGTAAACAACATGAAGCCCATAAAGAGTAAAGACCTTCCAAATGTAATTGATCTTTGGCAAGATCCATATCGATAACTTAAGACAACACAACACATACAGAAAAATAGTGAAGCAGACGAACAATGGCCTTGAAAATCTTCACATGCATAATCTACTTCATCTTCTTTGGCCTCAAGGGATTGCTATGCCCACACTTCTTCTTGCATCAGTTGACAGCGCGGGGATGCAAGCGAGCATAGCACTTTTTGTTTGTTTAAAATTTAGCATAAAATTGGCAACACAAAATAGCAATAAGATATGTTCTAATGTAAAAAAATGATACATCTGAGACATTCTGAATCCCTCCGAGAGGTAGTGATATAAAACACTTTTTTAAAAAAAAAGTAACTAAGAAAACACATAAATTAAACTGAAAAACGATATGATCAATTGTCACGCCCCGGACCTATCCGGACACGTCAACAACCCGCCGTACAATATGAATAGTCAACCGCAGTCCAACACATTCATAATATACAAGGCGTCTTGAATATCATTCACACATACACATCCATAAACAAACATAATAAGTAATTCGTAACGCAGCGGAAAACATTGTTTAAAACGAAAGGGCCACACAAGGCTATTCATGAGCACGCAGGCTCTACAGTAAAATATCCATGAGCATGTTTATTAATGTTTAAAAACAGAATGGAGGAAACACGAACCAAGTCTTCCCTCCTATATGATCTCTCGAGCAACGAGCACAGGAAGCAAGCTCTAGCCTCAACCTGAAAAATGGTGGTGGGACGCCCCCAAAGGGGTCAGCACTCTATAGGGCTATAAAGTGCTGGTGTGGCAGGCATCTAATAGATATACAACAAGTATTTCACACACAAGACCCTCAAATAGGGTGATAATATAGTATAGGCCGTAATCCCAGATTACCCCTTTCAAAATACATACTTACTTTATATAAAGTCAAGTAGTCGCCTCAAAGGCCCGTGTTTGTTATAAAACATTTCCCAAACCCCGTGACTAATAGTCACGACAATACATAGGGTCCAACCCTAATATAACTTTTTCATTTCTAGAGTTAGGCTCGAGTACATCATCATGCACTCGCATCATAGATCTCCTACTTCATATAATCATACCATAGATCTCCTACTTCATGTATTCACCCCATAGATCTCTTACTTCATACAATCACACCATAGATCTCCTACTTCATACAATCACACCATAGATCTCCTACTCCATGATATCACACTTGACACTTGAATCTCATTCATGTTCATCACAAACAACTCAAACCTTAAGTTTGATTCTATCAACATTTAGAACAATCCTTAACTAGCATCACAATACTATTAAGATTATTCCTACAGCTCATTTATTCTTAATGGTAGCCCCTCCATATCAATAGATATGTGGCAGCCTCCCATGTGCTAAGCATCATCATGCAATCATACATTTACATACACATAACATTCATACATGAGTTGGAAGGTCAATTTACCATTTTAGCATACTTTTATCTCACATGACTCCATATTCATCAATATGGTTTCAATTTATGATCAAGTCCATTACTTATCATTCATATCATGTTCAAGCATATTTATTCACAAAAACATGATTTAAGCATTTAGGTAATCTCATGCATAACCTACAAGTTGTAAGCAACTAGATGTCGGTCCTCACCTCAAATGAGCTTTAAAACCTTCCTTCTCGATCCAATGACCAAAGCCTCGGCCAAGGAAGATTGAGAACTAGTTCCTTGCTTGAAAATGGGTGTTAAACAGCCTCCTCAAGTTGCTATTTCAACCCCTAATCGTTGATACGAAAACAGCCCCTAGAACGGGTGTTTTCCGGCTAACTCGATTCCTAGTTTTCCAATATTTGCATCTAGGTCAGTATCTAACCTTTACATCAATAAAATAACTTAATAGGGACGTTTTATACACTTGGAGTAGTGTATAATAGTCCCACCAATCGTTCTTATCCTTTGGAAAATGAATGGAAAGGTTTTGGGATTAACAACTCACTTAGAAGAGTAAATCCGTTCCTGCAAGGTCGCGTTCTTCTCGGACGATTTGGAAGCCTTCCTCTACTCCGATTGACGCAAACCAGATCTTAACGGATTCCTCGTCTTGAGAGCTTTCTTTTGGTATCTCACACGCCTTAATTGGATTGGTATAACTCGAGATATCAACCAAACAGTCTCAGCACTCTCACAGCTCGAGTTCACAGACCACCACTCACTCCAGCTCGATTTTTGTAAGATAAGCTTTCTCTCCTCGAACAAAGACCACTCAATTGAGATACTAGACTTCCAAGGCTATCCAAGGACATATTATTCACGTTGTTTGGTCGAGTATAGCTTCTATAATGAGAGGAGACAAACAGCACACCAATTTGAGCGAAAATAAGGATGGTGGCCCAAGCTTTGATTCCTATCAAGTCATGTGCAGCTCCCCTCCATTATGGCCGGCCAAGGTAGGTCTTCTAACCCATTTTTATTTGTTTTGCAGGTACTAATATCATGTGGAGTGGTTCCCAATTGATCCCATTAAATTTGGGGTCCAAAATATCTACCAATACTTCCAAAAATGGGAAGATGGGTCCTATTGTTTTATCTTTGTCAAAAATGTCTTTTTGTACTCATCCTAATTTACTTAGAACAAGTCAACTTCCTAAATCACATTATTGATCTCCAATATGTGTAGGCTCATCCCAATAATTTACTTGATGAATATTATAGAAGGAAAATCCTACTCCCATTATTTAGCTCAATAAGGCCCAAGGTGGGGTTATAGGCATTTGTATTCTTCCTTAATCATTCAATCACTTATTTGACATTTGTCATACGTATTATTGGGCTACTAGCCGTGTGGGTCACTCCCGAGTGGGTTTAGAACGCCATTCTCGAACACTTGCTATTTTTAGCAGGTTGGCCCAAAATAATGTTTGAGCCACCCGACCTTCCTCAAATTGTCTTGAAGTATTATGTATCACTATTTAGGTAATGTTGAGCTCTTTTATTTATTAATAAGTCCCGAATAAGTATTTGCGAAACCCGACACTAGTGTACGAGTTTGAACAGTACGATATTCAACCATGCACTACGTAGAACATTAATCGTTTTACAATTGTTTGGAGATCGAAAATTCAATACATAAATTTGAATATTTAAATCAAATCTCCAAGGACATTCGGGTGCGGTGTCACAAGTTCACCCCCCCTTAACAGGAATTTCGTCCCCGAAATTCACAGCTCTACTCGAATAGGAAAGCATACTGCTTCCTCATCAAAGCCTCTGTCTCCCATGTCTCTTCTTCGACCCGATCGCTCTTCCAAAGTACTTTAACCATTGGGACTTCTTTGCTCCTCAGTTTCTTCACCTTTCTATCGGTGACCTTGATTGGTTGTACAACGTAGTTCAAATCCTCACGTACCTCTACAGGCGGCTTTTCCAATACGTGGGAGGGATCATGTACATATTTCTTAAGCATGGATACATGAAACACATTATGTATCTTCTCTAACTCAGGAGTCAACTGTAGACGATATGCAACGGCCCCAATCCTCTCTAAAATTCTGAATGGACCTATGTATCGTGGGTTAAGCTTCCCTCGGGTTTGAAATCGAATGATTCCTTTCCAAGGAGAAACTTTCAAGAATACCTCGTCATCAACCTTAAACTCTAAGGTTCTTCGACGCTTATCTGCATAACTCTTTTGCCTATCCTGCGCCGCTTTGAGTCTCTCTCGAATCAATTTCACCTTTGATTTGGTGACCTCAACCAACTCAGTACCTTCGAGTTCGGCCATGCCAACCTCGTCCCAGCATAACGGTGTACGACACCTCCTCCCATACAATGCCTCGTATGGAGGCATGCCGATGCTTGCCTGATAACTGTTGTTATAGGCAAACTCCACAAGTGCTAAGTGGTTGTCCCAACTTCCTTGGAACTCCAATGCACAAGCCCTCAGCATATCCTCTAAGATCTGTATAACCCTTTCAGACTGCCCATCCGTCTGTGGATGGAATGCAGTACTGAACTTCAATCTCGTTCCCATAGACTCTTGAAATTTCGGCCAAAAACGTGATGTGAATCGTGGGTCTCTATCGGATACAATGGTCACTGGGACCCCATGCAGCCTCACAATCTCATCCGTATACAATTTGGCTAACCTCTCAAGTGGGTAGGTAGTGTTGATAGGCAAGAAGTGTACACTCTTTGTGAGCCTATCCACAACAACCCAAACCGCGTCATAGTTCCTGATAGTCCGTGGTAAGCCTACCACGAAATCCATAGTCACGTGCTCCCACTTCCATTCAGGGATGGAGAGTGGTTGCAATAAGCCTGCTGGGTGTTGATGTTCTGCCTTAACTTGTTGACAAGTAAGGCACCGACTGATGTACTCGGCTATTTCCCTCTTCATTCCAGACCACCAGTAACTTTCTTTCAGATCACGGTACATTTTCGTGCCCCCCGGGTGCATGGCATAAGCCGATGAATGAGCCTCCTCTAAGATGGACTTTCGGAGCTCATCATCTGACGGTACACACACTCGGTCACGAAATAACAAGAGACCATCATCTCTTTCCCTGAAATCCTCCACCGGTCCCGCTTGCATGCGTTCCCGGACCTTCATAAGTTCTGTGTCCGTCTCTTGACCCTTCTTGATCTCATCAAGTAAAGTCGGTCTCACTTCGAACCGTGCCAATAAGGCACCGTCGCTAGATACATCCAATTGGGCCCTCAGTGCCCTCAAACTAGTCAACAATGCCCCAGACGAACTCTTCCGGCTGACGGCATCTGCTACAACGTTTGCCTTACCTGGATGGTACTCAATAACTAGATGGTAGTCCTTTATCAACTCCATCCACCGTCTCTGTCTCATGTTTAACTCCTTCTGAGTAAACACGTACTTCAAGCTCTTATGGTCAGTATATATGTGACATGTCTCTCCGTAGAGATAATGTCTCCAAATCTTTAGTGCAAACACTACCGCTCCCAGCTCCAGATCATGGGTAGGATAATTTACCTCATGCTTCTTCAACTGTCGTGAAGCATAGGCAATTACCCTCCCTTCCTGCATCAACACACACCCAAACCCTTGGATGCTCGCGTCACTATAGACATCGTACCCCACACCCTGTTTGGGTAATGCAAGTACCGGTGCCTCGGTCAATCTCTTCTTCAGTTCGATGAATCCTTTCTCACATTTGTCATCCCATATAAACTTAGCTCCCTTTCGAGTGAGCTTCGTCAACGGCGACGCCAAAACAGAGAACTTTTCCACGAACTTTCTGTAATAGCCTGCCAATCCAAGGAAACTACGAATTTCCTTGACATTCTTTGGTCTCTCCCATTCGGTAATGGCCTCTATCTTCTTATTATCAACAGCAATTCCCGATCCCAAAACCACATGCCCGAGAAAGCCAATTTCCTTTAGCCAAAATTCACATTTAGAAAATTTGGCATAAAGTCGCTTCTCCCGTAGTGTCTCAAGAACGAGTATCAAGTGCTCTTCATGCTCTTCCTCACTCTTTGAATAAATCAAAATGTCATCTATGAACACAATCACGAATCGATCCAAGTATTTATGGAATACTCAGTTCATCAAGTCCATGAATGCCGCTGGGGCGTTTGTTAACCCAAATGACATAACAAGGAACTCAAAATGCCCATACCTTGTGCGGAAAGCACTCTTTGGTATGTCGTCTTCCTTAATCTTCAATTGATGGTAACCCGACCTCAAATCAATCTTTGAAAACACGGTTGCCCCTCGTAGTTGATCAAACAAGTCATCAATTCTAGGCAAAGGATACCTATTCTTGATTGTGACCTTGTTGAGTTGACGATAGTCAATACACATTCGAAGTGTCCCATCTTTCTTTTTCACAAAAAGAACTGGTGCTCCCCACGGGGAGTGGCTTGGTCTAATGAAACCATTATCCAAAAGCTCTTGCAATTGGGTTTTCAACTCGTTAAGTTCAGCGGGTGCCATACGGTATGGCGGTATGGAGATTGGTTTGGTACCAGGCTCGACCTCGATCACAAATTCAATCTCTCTGTCAGGTGGAAGCCCCGGTAGGTCTTTAGGGAAGACATCCGGATACTTACAAACCACCCTCACATCATCGATGTTCGTTTCCTCTTTGGTTTTGTCAACCACGTATGCTAGATATGCGTGGCATCCCTTTCTCATCATACTTCTCGCTCTCACGGCGGATATGATACAGCTATTTGATCTCCCTCGATCGCCCTCGAAGCGTAGGGTCTCCCCATCATTGCCTTTGAGTTCAAGAACCTTCGTGTAGCAATCTACCCTAGCATGGTTCCTTTCTAGCCAATCCATCCCTAGGATTGCATCGAATTCAATCATGCCCAGCGGTACGAAGTCACACGTCAAGGTTTGACCATTAACCTCCACCCCACAAGATGGATAATAACAAGTTCTTTCCACGTCATCTCCTAGTGGTGTTGATACCACTAAGGTTTGCATCAATGGTGCGGATTGCACCCCCAACCTCTTGGCGAACGCTTCATTCACAAATGAACGTTGCGCCCCGGTATCGATAAGGATTCGCGCATCCTTCCCATTAATCTTTAGTGTCCCTACATTTATGAACCATGTAAGACATTTTTCCTACCATTCCTATACATTTAGAGAGGTTTATTATGTTCACACACGTGTTTGGGATCAAGAACGGGTCTTAACGTTGCAATACGGCGCGAAAAAGTCGACTTTGGGCTGCCCAGGAGGTACGCACGGCGTGCCTAGGAGGCACGCACGGCGTGCGTGTCTTATAACCTCAAAACGGAGCTACTGCCACTAACGCACGGACCAACGCACGGACAACGCACGGCCGTGCGTATAGCAATTTCTTCCCGGGGTTCTACTGCCACCAACGCACGGACCAACGCACGGACAACGCACGGCCGTGCGTATGGTCCAGCCTGGTGTGCGTTGGCAGAAATCAGTCGTCTTTCACCCGATTTTGCTCCGTTTGACCCCAAAGCTTCGTGCAACGATCCCAACGACTAGCAACCTCAATTTATGGACTAATCAAGGGTAAAACATAAGTATACAAAAGGTAATACCTGCAACGGAATCCGGGTTAGCTTGAGCATCCGCCTCCGTCATCGCATAGACTCTAGCTTGAGTCCTTTCTTGATTTACCGATGGTGCGTTGCTCGCGCTTGCTCCTCCATGCCCCCTAGTTGATTGGGAACCCCGGGCTTGGTTTCTCGTCCCCGTGGCCCCGCTACTTGGTCCCGATGACCTTGCCCCACCCAATTGTGGGCAATGCGCCTTCAAATGCCCGGTATTCCCGCATTGGAAGCATCTAGGAGGTTCTCGGCATTTTCCGAGGTGACTCTTCTTGCAATTCAAGCAACGAGGCGTCCCCGAGGCTTGTGACCCCGAGTCATGCCTGCTCGGGCCCTGGTTCCCCCTAGATGGTGGCGGCGGTGCACGGAAAGATCCCCCTCCATGGTTCCCCTTTTTGTTGGAACCTTGGGAGCCGTGACTCTCCCACTTCCTCTTCTTCGCCTCCTCGGCGTTCCTTCGTTTTCTTTCCTCCCACTCCTTCTCTCCCTTCAGGCCTTGTTCAACCACTTGACTAAACGTCATATTAGGCAATTGTGTTGCCCTCTCGCGTATGTCAAGGTCCAAGGCATCCCAGAAGTGATTCACCATCCGGTTCTCATCACATATGTACTCCGGTATGAATTCCGCGAGTTCCCTGAATTTGTGCTCAAGTTGCCTCACCGTCATCGTGCCACCTTGGGTCAGGAGGGTATACTCTCTCCTCTTATTGTTCACCTCAAAATCAGAATAGTATTGGGCAAAGAACTCCTGTCGGAACTCCTCCCAAGTCACGGTATTGCCATACTTTCCCTTGGCTCCGTCCCACCATGTGGATGCCATCCCTTCAAGCAACCTCACCGCCACCCTTAGTTTAAATTCGGGGGTGAGTTGCATATCAAGGGCTGCTTCGTTCAACCTCTTGATCCATTCGGCGGCAACCGAGATGTCACCCGCTCCGTTGAAGGGTTTGCACCCTAAGTCTCGTGCCTCTTTGAGGTATTTGGAGATCCTTATGATCGGACCTCCATCACCCCGGCCCCCATGTGGTTCAATGTGGGCCCTAGAGTCGCCATGGCTTCTTCCTCTTGAAGCCCCACCCGAAGTTCGCCCTCCTCGGCGCCTTCGGCGTTCCCTCCTTTCCTCGCGCTCCCGCTGGTATTGCTGGAGCAACGCCTCAATTCTGGCTAGGGAGTCATTCTCCCCTTCTTCATCACTTATATCATCGGCATCCCCTTCGTAAGGGGTCTCAACCGGCTCGGTCTCCGGTTGGTAAGTCGAGTCCTCATAGGACCAGTAGGTTTCACTTTCTGTGTCAACATGACCGTCACTCACGGTCTGTGATCGGCCTCCACGGCCAGCTCCTCTAGATGCCCTAGAGGTCCTTCGACTGCCCTGTCCAGTCTCCACTGGTACACGGCCCGTCGGGTTTCTCCTAGTAATCCTGCCACCACGGTCCATTTCTGAAAGAAATTTGGAAAGAGTCATTAGACTCGTATCAAATGTCAATTGACGGATAGGTACTTAAGACACATTTTGGCTCGAGTCACCGCCATACCAATTGCTAAGGGTACCATCTTAACAATTAGAGACCTTGCAACCCAAGTACCAAAAGCTCTCCAAGTACAAAACTTCTATGCTCATGGTTTTCAAAATCTTTTCAAAAAGAGAATTTTGAGACTTCATTATGAAGTTTATGGACTAAGGCTCTGATACCAACTTAATTGTCACGCCCCGGACCTATCCGGACACGTCAACAACCCGCCGTACAATATGAATAGTCAACCGCAGTCCAACACATTCATAATATACAAGGCGTCTTGAATATCATTCACACATACACATCCATAAACAAACATAATAAGTAATTCGTAACGCAGCGGAAAACATTGTTTAAAACGAAAGGGCCACACAAGGCTATTCATGAGCACGCAGGCTCTACAGTAAAATATCCATGAGCATGTTTATTAATGTTTAAAAACAGAATGGAGGAAGCACGAACCAAGTCTTCCCTCCTATATGATCTCTCGAGCAACGAGCACAGGAAGCAAGCTCTAGCCTCAACCTGAAAAATGGTGGTGGGACGCCCCCAAAGGGGTCAGCACTCTATAGGGCTATAAAGTGCTGGTGTGGCAGGCATCTAATAGATATACAACAAGTATTTCACACACAAGACCCTCAAATAGGGTGATAATATAGTATAGGCCGTAATCCCAGATTACCCCTTTCAAAATACATACTTACTTTATATAAAGTCAAGTAGTCGCCTCAAAGGCCCGTGTTTGTTATAAAACATTTCCCAAACCCCGTGACTAATAGTCACGACAATACATAGGGTCCAACCCTAATATAACTTTTTCATTTCTAGAGTTAGGCTCGAGTACATCATCATGCACTCGCATCATAGATCTCCTACTTCATATAATCATACCATAGATCTCCTACTTCATGTATTCACCCCATAGATCTCCTACTTCATACAATCACACCATAGATCTCCTACTTCATACAATCACACCATAGATCTCCTACTCCATGATATCACACTTGACACTTGAATCTCATTCAAGTTCATCACAAACAACTCAAACCTTAAGTTTGATTCTATCAACATTTAGAACAATCCTTAACTAGCATCACAATACTATTAAGATTATTCCTACAGCTCATTTATTCTTAATGGTAGCCCCTCCATATCAATAGATATGTGGCAGCCTCCCATGTGCTAAGCATCATCATGCAATCATACATTTACATACACATAACATTCATACATGAGTTGGAAGGTCAATTTACCATTTTAGCATACTTTTATCTCACATGACTCCATATTCATCAATATGGTTTCAATTTATGATCAAGTCCATTACTTATCATTCATATCATGTTCAAGCATATTTATTCACAAAAACATGATTTAAGCATTTAGGTAATCTCATGCATAACCTACAAGTTGTAAGCAACTAGATGTCGGTCCTCACCTCAAATGAGCTTTAAAACCTTCCTTCTCGATCCAATGACCAAAGCCTCGGCCAAGGAAGATTGAGAACTAGTTCCTTGCTTGAAAATGGGTGTTAAACAGCCTCCTCAAGTTGCTATTTCAACCCCTAATCGTTGATACGAAAACAGCCCCTAGAACGGGTGTTTTCCGGCTAACTCGATTCCTAGTTTTCCAATATTTGCATCTAGGTCAGTATCTAACCTTTACATCAATAAAATAACTTAATAGGGACGTTTTATACACTTGGAGTAGTGTATAATAGTCCCACCAATCGTTCTTATCCTTTGGAAAATGAATGGAAAGGTTTTGGGATTAACAACTCACTTAGAAGAGTAAATCCGTTCCTGCGAGGTCGCGTTCTTCTCGGACGATTTGGAAGCCTTCCTCTACTCCGATTGATGCAAACCAGATCTTCACGGATTCCTCGTCTTGAGAGCTTTCTTTTGGTATCTCACACGCCTTAATTGGATTGGTATAACTCGAGATATCAACCAAACAGTCTCAGCACTCTCACAGCTCGAGTTCACAGACCACCACTCACTCCAGCTCGATTTTTGTAAGATAAGCTTTCTCTCCTCGAACAAAGACCACTCAATTGAGATACTAGACTTCCAAGGCTATCCAAGGACATATTATTCACGTTGTTTGGTCGAGTATAGCTTCTATAATGAGAGGAGACAAACAGCACACCAATTTGTGCGAAAATAAGGATGGTGGCCCAAGCTTTGATTCCTATCAAGTCATGTGCAGCTCCCCTCCATTATGGCCGGCCAAGGTAGGTCTTCTAACCCATTTTTATTTGTTTTGCAGGTACTAATATCATGTGGAGTGGTTCCCAATTGATCCCATTAAATTTGGAGTCCAAAATATCTACCAATACTTCCAAAAATGGGAAGATGGGTCCTATTGTTTTATCTTTGTCAAAAATGTCTTTTTGTACTCATCCTAATTTACTTAGAACAAGTCAACTTCCTAAATCACATTATTGATCTCCAATATGTGTAGGCTCATCCCAATAATTTACTTGATGAATATTATAGAAGGAAAATCCTACTCCCATTATTTAGCTCAATAAGGCCCAAGGTGGGGTTATAGGCATTTGTATTCTTCCTTAATCATTCAATCACTTATTTGACATTTGTCATACGTATTATTGGGCTACTAGCCGTGTGGGTCACTCCCGAGTGGGTTTAGAACGCCATTCTCGAACACTTGCTATTTTTAGCAGGTTGGCCCAAAATAATGTTTGGGCCACCCGACCTTCCTCAAATTGTCTTGAAGGATTATGTATCACTATTTAGGTAATGTTGAGCTCTTTTATTTATTAATAAGTCCCGAATAAGTATTTGCGAAACCCGACACTAGTGTATGAGTTTGAACAGTACGATATTCAACCATGCACTACGTAGAACATTAATCGTTTTACAATTGTTTGGAGATCGGAAATTCAATACATAAATTTGAATATTTAAATCAAATCTCCAAGGACATTCGGGTGCGGTGTCACATCAATAATGGTTTATTTATAGTGAGAAATCAAAGTTTTTTGTAAAACTATAATTAATAGAACATATATATTAAACGAAAAGGACTCAGTTAACAAATAATATCAGTAATGATACCTCTAATTCTCGGTGGCAGATTTGAAGTTCTTCAGTTGCGCGTGACTCAAGGGTTGTAAACGAATCAAATAATTTTTGCTCGATTCGCGATTCAAATTCGTATAAGACTATTCGAATTCAAAAAATTCAAATACAAATAAGAATACTAAATTTGATTCGAATTATTATCAAATACAAATAAGAATATCAGTGTATTCAATTCGAATATTAATCAAATATATTCGATTAATGATAGTGATATTACTATAATAATATTAATAATATTAATAATAATATTAATAATAATAACAACACTATAATAACTTTTAAAAGAAAGCTATACATTCAAAGTGTCGTCCATATATACATTTAGGTATACAAATTTCAAGCTCATTTGTAATAAATCAAAAGTATCATACGGAGTAAGGATTGTAAAGGAAGCAAATAATTTTAATTTGATTCGCGGTTTGGATTCAAAAAATATGATTAATTTAAAAATAAAGAATATAAAAATGAATACAAATCAGATTTTTGGTTCAAATATCATTCAAATACGAATACAAATAATTATGTATTCGATTCAAAGAATAAAATTAGAGGCGTTTGACTACGATATAGACAATTATCAACTTGTTACACACATTATAAGTATAATTTCTAATATGTGTGTGTTAGTGTTTATCTCAAAAAGTTTAAAATAGATTTATATTTATTAATCATAAAATTGATTGACTTTAGTATATTGTGCACAACCTAGAAATGTATCGATCCATTAAATTTTAAAGAAAAATGTAATTTTAAAAATTAAATTTTTAAAACACATATTAAGTCGTAGCATGCATTTATATCCTAAAAAAATATAAGAAAAATACTTTAAAGTGACATTTGACTAATATTTAACCTATGCTCAAATCGATTCGATATTCGTATATGATTCGTTAATTATTCGTATTGTAAAACAAATACAAATACAAATCGAAATTAATATTCGTTTCAAATTTGAATTCGAATTCGTATTCGAAAAAATTAAACAAATACAAATACAAAATCTCACTATTCGACTCGATTCGGTTCGTATTGGAGAAGCAATGCAGAAAAGTGGAAATGTAGCATGGCAGATACACATATATACAATCTCTTTAGTCAAAAGCTTTAAAAAGCAAGGAAAAGCAGAGGTATTAAAACTTTCTATAATTATTTCAGTTTAAGAAAAAATAAGGAGCAGACTAATGAAGGGCCTTAGTTGTTATAGTAAAATATCATGCCTAAATGACATATAAAACTGCTGTAATTTTAAAATGTGCTTCATCTTTTCCTTTGTTGTGGCTTCATCTAAATCTTTTCTCACTTCTTTCTTGATATCCTGGTGAAGAACCACAAAATAGTTTGAATCCACTTATAGCAGCTTGTTTGTTTAAAATTTAGCATACAATTACCAACAAAAAATAGGCATAAGATCTGCTCCAATGTAAAACAGAAGAGTATTTCACTATTATATTGCTAACTTAACCTTACACTCTTGCATATGCTCTCTAATCTGACCTTATCTTCTATAGAACTTTTTGTGAAGAAGACTCAATAATTCACCTTCCATATTCATAAATGAAGTGAAGTGCGCATGGCATTATTATGTATGGTGAATCAAAAAACAGATTCATATATACAATCTCTTTAATCAAAAGCTTGAAGAAGCAAGGCAAAACAAAGATATTAAAACTTTCTATATGTGTTTCAGTTCAATAAAAAATAAATAGTCAATAGGTTATGCACTTTGAAATCATTCCTTTAAAAAATTATTTCAAAATAAAGTTAAGTCTCAATAGCTGTCATAGAATATTGCATAACCTTATTATCCTCATCTATTTTGGGCTTCTGAATATTATTGAAAACTATAGGAAAAACTGAATCAAAGAACAGATCCATACCCTTATCATCCTCATCTATTTTGGCCTCTTCCTGATATTCTTTGTTCATTGTGGGAGCTACCAAAGCATGGGGTGCGGGGCCTTGAGAAAAGGATGGATTTACGGGATTTTTTTGCATCCATTCCAAAAATACGAATGTCAGGTTTATTGTATGAAAATACGGGAAACGTGGGTCGCTAATCCGACTTTTGTAGGGCTTTGTTGGGGCTTTTACGTTTGGACGCAACAACAAGGTCGAGGTGGGGCAGTATTGGTAGTATTTCGGATTAGAGCAATCCGAAATTTGGTTTCAATTGTTTTGGTCGCAGACTTGGTGTGGCTAGTGGCTACAGTTGATTTCAGAAGGTTTTCAATTCCCTAGTTCATATCGGCGATGCTGGTGATTGGCCACAAATACATGGATTTGGATAAAAGAAATAAAGAATCCCAACCCTCCATTTTTTGTACGGGAGTTCACTCCTTAATCTCAATCCCCATCTCTTTAAATGCCTTCAACTTTATATTTAGAGGCCGATTGGTAACACTGTTTTTCGACTTATCAGGCTTATCAGTTGTGTAATTGAACACAAGTTACTTAATATATAGATGAAATTTTAATATTCATAGTTGTGATTGACATTTTATGGACCCGAATCATTAAAACCCCAATTCGACCCAGTAAGGAACTAAGGATACAATCATTTAAAATGCAATCAGCCTATATCATAAAAAAAAATTATAAATTTATAAAAAAAATAAGGAAAAAATAAATTGACATAAAAGAAGTTTAAAAAAATCTAAAATGAATAAATAAAATACCTACAAAAATATTAAAAAATATGTAGGCCACTACCTTTACATCCTCCACCTCTTAGCACCACCACCTCCAATTGTGGGGGGAATGCCATCTCGTGTAAAAAAACAACACATTTCTCTGAAAATGTCATGAAGATGATATTTATACTCTTTGAAAATACCCATCTTTCTTTTCAAAATTGATATCACGACGACATCCTCCTTTCTTATAATCTTTTCCGGCGACCGGAGGTGACGGTGTTGGAAGGTGGTTGAGGTCTGCATATTTTTTATTTATTGCTTACGATTGTTATTTTTTTATTTTTTAAGTCTATAATTATTATTTAAAAAATCCTATTAGGAAGGACAAGGGAAAAGGTAGAATAGGAAGAGTCAGTCCTTGAGAAATTAAACTTTAAACTCACATTGTTGCAATTATTCTTTCATTTAGTCCTATATAGGGAAATCTCCTCATCATTACATATGTATATCCAGTAAAACAACCACTAACCTAACAATTATTTTTTATTTAATACTACGTAAAATAATACACATCTTTCCAACTACAAATATCCATAAATTTTTTTTTATTTTTGTACATATTATCTTAGAGGCTGTTTGACAACACTGTTTTTCGACTTATCAGGCTTATTAGCCAACTTTTTCACCAAACACTTAACTTTTGCTTTCGCGCGCTGAATTGTGTAATAAGCAGAAAAATTAAGGTTGAAGTTGTTTTTCTGACTGTATTGGCTGAAGTTACGGTAGATGATCATTTTAGCTTGTTGGGATATATTATCCCGGCTTACTACTGTTCAAGGGCCCAAGATATTTCTCCAGTACGGACATTAGCCTAACAAGTCTCGTGGTTTTCTCCCTTTTTGGGTTTCCACGTAAAAATAGCTTGTTCATACACATTTATACATATATTTACTATATCGTGTTGGATAAAACTAAACATAGCTATTTTTACATATGAAGTATAATTTTTTCTTTATTTTATTAATAAAATATATTTCAAAAATAATTTTTCTTAAATTAGAAGAATCAGCCAATGAAGCCACTTTAGCCAGAACTTCATAAATTTCAGCAGAAGCAGCCATATCAGCCAATTTTCTTGCTATCAAACGGGCTCTTAATCAATCAAACCCACTAACATTTTTTATTAAATTATTTGTGTTTTCCCTATTTAAAAAAAATGTAACTAAACCATCTCAATAGACTAAGAAATGCTTTACTCTAAAAGAAAAACTAAGAAATTCTTTAAAAAAAACGTACTCAACTTAGCCAACTAACTATACAGGGACGTACGTAATTAAGTAGCATTTTAAAAAGAATTAAAAACAAA